CGTCTATTTCCCTCTACTGCGCGATAGCGCGCTAGATGCACGCTTTAAGAGTAGTCGCAAACGATATTGTATAAGAGATTTGTATATATTTAGCTAAAATTACACCTATTCTAGGAAACTTGAAGTTGGTGTTTTGTCTTGGCAGGTCTTATCATACCCGTATTAGTATCAAGGATAACATAATACGAGGAAGATTTTCAATGGCAGTCTTACCCTATTGCAATACCAGAAAGACGAGCACTTGCTGCACCATTGCAGAGAGGCTGCCTTCTTTCCGCACCCGTGACATATTCTCATGCCATTAATCTCTAGAGAACACTGCTGGACCTGGTTGTTCAACGCCTGCAGCTTATCCAGAGACAGTAGAAAAATCTACACGACGTCCCGTTCGGTTAGCGCATGTGAACCAAGCTGTAGATTAGCAATTTTAAAGTACCTTGATCGTCTGGGGACCCTCATGGCGGATACCGGGCCCACAGAACATGAATACATGGCGCTCGGCATAGATCCCTCCAGCACTTCGCATCTCTTGGACTAACTAAGTCCGTGCCCCTAGATTGGCGGAAGGACGTCGCTTTATGCGCCGCAGATCGTGCCCCGCCAGCGGTGCTGCAAAACGCCAGCAGTGCTACTCTAGACGCCCCCAATCGCCCCCAGCCGTTCCCATGATTTGTTCTAAACCCTTCTTTAGTTAGGGTAGATGCGGCAATGTATGAAGCTAAGCACACGGTCGTTACAAGCTTAACCTGCACGCTCCTTCAGCCTCGGCGCGTCGCAGCACCACTGGCGGGGCGCCATCTGCGCCACCTGCTGCACGGCGCACATCTCACAGCTCCAGCTCTCAGCCCACAGCTCAGCCACCAGCCTTGTTCCCAACCTACAGAAAGGCCTCTCGCCCACCACGGACGCTCGCTATGCATCCGCCGTTGACCTGATCTGGAACGCTTCACTACCAACAAGCACATTTCGCCGTGAAACACCGCCATGGCCCAGAGCGTCGCGACCCGGCACGGCGGCGAGCCCAACCCGCTCGACACCACTGGCCTCTCCCTGCTGTCGCTTGACGGCGGTGGCGTGCGCGGCTTGTCGACCCTGTACGTCCTAGAGGGACTGATGGAGCGACTGAACCACCAGCGCCAGATCGATGGCCTTCCTCGAGTGAAGGCAATGGGTATAGGAATGTGTTGGATCTCATCATCACACTCGTTGTGGTCAACTCTCATAATTTCTTCTCTTACACAGATTGATACTTAGTTATTCTATCCTTATACATAATAGAATTGGTTTGTCAACCATCGGTTTTATCCATAACCCTTTTCCCCGAATCGCCAGACACCTCACGGTTTACTTCGTTAACCAGTCTCGCCCTAACCCGGACCGAGACCAGGCAAGTATTTCCCTACCCCGTGTAGACCCCATGTAACATCTAGAGCACTACTATATGTTATCTATACTTGATATTATTATATCCTTATAACTAGTTACTATTAATTATAGTCGTACTCTTTGGTGCGTGAGGGAAATCGTGTAAAGAATCAATCTATTATCATCTACATCATCCCAAACGCTTATATAGACACCATTGGACAATCCATGGTCAATTAGTAAGTTGGTATCATTAACAGAGTTTGTGCTTCCGACAGCTGCGCAGTTTGTAACAGTTATAACACATCTCATGTGTTAGACACGATATTTTAAGCTAAAGGATACAGTCTCTACCTTGTCATAGTCATCCTCGTTATCCGGATTTCCAAAGATACGAAGCGCTCTAATGAGTAGTTTATACTGGCCATCCGGCACATAAGATCCATCATCCAGCTGACCTGTCCAGGACCAGCTATCTTGCCCCCTTGATAGATATCTTTTCGGAAATCCCTTGATACTTCCTAAGCTGATAATGCCCAATACAAGCTTACTGCTTGAATTAGAGGTTAAGTAAGGAACCACATCGACTCTAAGGAGGGGCGAACCAAGGGCTAGAGTAACGCTAACAGTTGGAATGACAAGCTTGGAATCGTTACGCATGAGTTCACTCTCCACGAGCTCGTAGTGCGTTCCATTCAAAACTGGGGAAGCTTTAGCGTCCGTTGAATTGGATAGAAAGCCCTTCGCGAGAACAGTTGCGTTGCGCATAGACCCAGATACTCCCATGAACGGAAGAGAAAGTGTTTCGCCATTTGTCGCATCAATAGCGATGAATCCGGAATAGACGCCAAGGCGAGCAACATCCAAAGATGGGGGTGTCATGGAAATCTCGACTAGTTTAGACTGACCAGCTGGCACAGTGATGGCATGTTCAGAAAACCGAATATCCGCATGGCCTTCTGATAGCGCTGGAGGGAAGTTTGCAGGATATATGCTATTGGATGGCAAGGTGTATGCTGTGGCTGCTTGTTTGGGGCTCAAGCGGTATACAATATCCACATCTCCAGTGTTGTGAATATAGAATCTGGTGGAATTGATAAAATGCGCTGTATCATTGAGCAACAGGCTCGATGTGGATAGAAGCGTAGTACAGTGTGCGGCATCGTACACCTGGATCATTCCGCTACCTTGCTGAGGAACCGGTGCCAAGTAAGGAAAGGTCGCAGTACCGTTGTTGAAGTTTGTTGGTTTTGCGGTTGCTGAGAGGACGTTTCTTAAGATTATAGGGTCGAATGTTTGTCTAACTTGGGCGACTAGCGCGTAGGCAGCTGCTACAAGAGGACATGCCATTGAGGTTCCTGAAAGTACTGCGAAACCACCTTTGGCAATTGGATAAGTGGACAGTATCCAGCCTCCGGGTGCGCCAAATTGTGGTTTAACGTCGAGCTCGAATGTTGGTCCCCAGCTAGCATACGTGCTAACATATCCGCCAGTCGAGTTGTTCGTTCGGAAGGTTACATGGTGGGCCGCGTTAGCGGGATCAGTAATCTTAACCACAATCTTCGACCCATTCTTGAGGTTTTCAATGAATGTTTTACCTTGGCTGGCTGAAATCATTCCAGTTCCAAGCAGACCGTCTGTAGTCATCTCAGGTGAGTAGACACTTTCAGTGTTACTGTAGAAGATGATGTATCGAGCACCTCTCGCCACAGCATTTGCAGCTTTTTGAGAAAAATCACAATTGCCTCTCCTGATAAGAACGATGGAACCAGAAAGGTCCATCGTGTTTCCTGGAAGGCTATTACATGCGTCATTTGAGTTGTTGTAATCATAACTTAACGCCGTTAAAGGAAGGGAGAGATTGGTCCATTTGGCCGGGTCACCAGCGGTCCAGTAGAATGGCATTTCTGGAGAATCATCCACTGTGTACTTTGCCGTGGACCAAAAAGTGGGAATCTGGGTGTTGTCGTATGAGCTCACGGATGCAACGTTCTTGCCATGTGCCGCTCCGCCGGGCATGAATAAACCACCCTGGCCTTCATTTCCAGTAGACAGTATGCAGGGAATTCCCGCAGCGACGATTCGTTCAACTGTTAAAGTCCATGCGTCATAAGGCCAACCACCAGTAACGCCAATAGAAGCAGTAATGATATTACTACCATCTTCAACGGCTTTCGTAAATGCGGCGATGAGAACGTCAGTTGTGACACCTTGCCCAGTACACCCATAGACACGGTAAGCACCGATAGTAACATCTAGAGCAGCTCCAAAAAACCCAAATTCATTTTCCTTTGCTGCGATGACACCAGCAATATGGGTTCCATGTCCTGAACAGTCCATAGGGCTGATAAAAACATACCGTTAGCACGCACTCAGTAGCATCCAGTCGTGGAATGAATGACATACTCCGGATCGGGAACTGGTGTATTCTTTCCATTGTACTCGTCACCAACAAAATCAAACCCATAGCCCACCACACAGCCTTTCGAACAAGTTAGTGTTCATCAGTGCAATCAGCTTTCTTAGCATACCTTTTCCAAAGCAACCACCGAGTAGATAATGAGAATAGTCAACCTTTGCCCAAAATTAGTAGTGGATGCGCGTTTTTCCACCCGAAGACTCACTCCAGTGTCGATAACCGCAATTTTAATACCAGATCCAGTAATTCCATCGGCCCTTAATCTATCGATCTGTGTCATGACGTGAGGTGGATAGTTTCCTATCACATCTCTTTTGAATAGAGAAGAATTCAATTTAGATGGCTCGGTGCCTACCCACTTCGTATCATAGTCTGGTAATGTATGGTGTTGAACCGGCCACATGTTTTTGACCCCCGGGAGTTTCATGATGGCTTCCGAAGGCCTCGTGCCATCAACAACTCTGTTGACTTGGAATGAAGTTCCATGGAAGAACGGTGACTCAAATCCTAGTCGCTTCGATGTGTCGATTCCGATTGCCCTGACCTCACTAAAAAATGTCTCGATTGCCTGTAGCATGTATGAGCGCCTGCAATGCGAAGAATTTCAGGTAACTTTACAAAGTCCGCTTTAAGCTCAGCAATGAAGAGCTCTGGAAACACTTCAACAGTACGCTGTGTTTCTTCGATGGCTAGAACACATAACGCTTGCGCAATCGCCCAGATGAAAATAAGAATGCGCATCGTCATCTGAGGTGAAGATATGGGAAACAGTAGACATGGAACCTATTGGATGCGCGAAACATCCTTCTATATCACATTGACGGTTAATTCCGACTTGTCTAATACATCTAATTAACTATTTAGTTGCCTGGACAATATGTACGGTCCCTTGTTGATACTTTGTTTCCCTCCTGCACTGGCTAGCGCTTACCCTGTCTGAACCGCATGAATCTCCGACAGTCGCGCCGGCCCGATAGTACAAACGCTATTGAGCATAGTACCATCACATGTCAATTACGTACTGTGATTACCGGCAAAAAATTCCTACGTGGAGACGCTAAGAATGACGATTAGGCCCTTCTTCGGATACCTCTTGATTTATCAAAGAAAAATACCGGGCTGTTCTGAGCAATCTTGACGGAAGCTACGCCATATGCAGTAAAGCTCTTACTCTCTACCCAGCCCGTGTCACCCCTTACTAGTGGCCCACATACAATACTTTCGTCTAGCAACACAGGAGACAGAAAGTGGATCAAGAGTTAAAGTACACTCTCATGCAGTTGCAGCTTCCGGTTTCTGTAAGCAGGCGACCTCTGATCCCATGCTAAGCCTCTGTCGCTTAGTGGTAGTCTTACCCAAATAGTATTAGTTTCTATCAGCGATAGGTCCTCTTCCAAGCTCTTAGACCAATCGACGCATCATATCTACATGACTTAACTATTTTTGGACAAGCGTATATCAGGCGGGTCCGTGTCCTGCGTGGGATGACAGTTCGGCTGTGTGCGCAAAGCGGAAGCTGCAAGTGCATGAGAGTGTAAGCTATTGTGCGATACGAGGGTTTCGCCCAACGTGGCATCCTGATTGTGGGGCTGCTCTCAATCGCTTAACACATCATTTTCTGTGGCCTACCTTCTGTTTCCTTGTATGATTAGTCTCGCTATTCTATGTTATTTACCAAATTTGCTTCCATCTCAATCTTGTAGATAGTGAACTCTTCAATTCACTGTAGGGATGGCAAATCGATACAAACGGTCTAGCTGGGCTTCTTTGCCACAAAAAGGGCAGTTGTTCGTTCTATGCACGATCCGAATAACTGAGCCTATCACAGTATTCTGCTTCAACTCATATATCTTTTACCAGCTCCGGCATTTCGACCCAAGCTTACCAGATGACGAGATCATAAGACAGGCATCGAATCTTCGGTCAGTTTATATGCTGACTCAGTGTGTTTCGTCTTTCCTCTGGGGTCGCATCGCAGACTCACCGCTAGGTGGAAGGAAACTTGCCTTACTTGTCGCCTTGAGCTGCTCATGTTCGTCAACAATCACCCACCCCCGCTATGTCTTACGAAAAGCACTATGCTAATCAATTCCAATTTTAACCAGTTATAAGCAGTCTATCTCTTTGCTTCGTTTCAAATTATAAACAAATTCTCATTGTTCAGGCTGCACAAGGTTTCTCAAATAATAACACAGCTATTGTGAGGACGCTAGTTTCTGAGATGGTACCACAAAAGCGGCAAGTTTTCCCCTTTATACCTTGAGATCAGCTTATGCTTCATGTAAATGCAATTTCTGCCTTGATAGCTTCTAATCTTTATATGTATAGGTTCCAAGCTAGAGCATTTATATTGCTGCCGATGTGCACAAGTCTTGCATCAGTCCTTGGCCCACTCATAGCAGGCTTAACAGTCGAAGCCAATCCTCAAACACAAATCAACAACCAATCCTTGCTACAGAGATATCCCTATGCATTACCACCTTTAATCAACTCCGCGCTGCTACTAGTACCACTGTTAGCAACCTTCTTCTTTCTCGAGGAGGTAAGTAGTGTCAGTGTTTGTCTTGACATACATTTGTTTTAACCTCAGAAGACCTTAGAACCCTTACGTAAAAGATACGACCCCGGAATCGCAGTCTCCCGAAGGCTTGTTTCATTGGTCTTCAGCTCAACTAGAAATGAACTGGCACATTATGAGGCAATCCCTGTTGAGATCGATGAAGATAGGGAAATGGAGTTTTTAGATAGAACGGAAAATGATGATCAAAGCAACTCATCAATGCGATCAAACTCTATTCCAGAGGGAGATGTAATCGGGAACAAGACAGAGTATTCGTTGCCAACACCTCGGACGTTTACCAAGAAGATAATGCTTGTGCTATTGGCAGGGGTTCTTCTGGACATACAAGTAGGCGTAACCAGTGACGCCATGAACAATCTGTTGAGTTTTCCTGTGGCAACCGAAGAGCAGGAACGTCAAATGATGCTGCCATTTCAATTCAGTGGCGGTGCTGGATTCAAACCAAGCTCACTCGCGTGGACCACGTGTGTATTTGGTACGTATCCCTACGACTCAGTTCCCCAAGACCATGAATTTCTGCACAATGCTTACAGTCAAGTTTCATGGTAGGCATTTTGGGGCTGCCATTTCAGCTATCGTTATATCCTCGAATCATCCAGAGCCTGGGAGTACTGAAAACCTGGAGGTACTTCATGTTCACATTCCCCTCGATATGGTTTCTGTATCCATACATCGCCGTTCTGCCTTCGAGCACACCTTCACCCTCAGAAAAAACTGGATTTATCATCTGGGGGTTCATAATATCCCTCGCTACTGTAACAGGCCTTTTTGTAGGCTGCGTGATGGTTTGCCAGCTCATGCTTGTAGCACAATCATCACCACATCCCTCTACCCTAGCAAAAACTCAGAGCATTGCCTTCTTTTTCTCTACAGCAACCAGGGCGTGTAGCTCAGCTGTATCAGGTGTTCTCCTTGCATATGGTTTAGATTGGAACCTAACTGGTCTACCGTTCTGGCTTAGCGCTCTAGTAGGCATGATCGCAATCGGCATGAATGCATTTATAAAAGAAGAGGACATTTTGAGTAGCTAAGTAGGAAAGAAGTAGTAGAAGCAATTGGCCAAAAGAATTTTACTATAGTAGGATACCTTCAGAAGTACGTGTCAAATACGTAAGAAAGTCTTTTGTTCAAGGTTTTGGATCTAGATTGAATGTGAGCTCTATCTTTCAGAGATTCATAGAAGGATCTGTTGTGAACATTTGAGTTCAATCCAGGTTGGTTGAAAAGAGCCTTTAGGTCCCATGAAGAAAACGTAGCTACTCACTTGGAAAACAGGAAGATGTCGCGGTGGTCTTGGCGGCGTTTGTAAATACAATGTGCATTGTTGCCCAATTCACATGTCAAACAAAAGATGTTGGGATAATCAAATCCATTTTGTAAAAACTCTTTCTCGTAGTTATTTGATTACTCCTGTCAGCAGAGTTGTCAACAATCAAGCTCATCAAGCCAAGCTAACATAATATAGTAATATGCTAGCTTCTTTGAGCCTAATCATTGCTATATCGCGTTAGCTCGGCTTGATGAGCTTGATCTTTGACAACTCTGCCTGTCAGCCATACCGTACTACTAAAGGACCTTATTTCAACATGATTGTTCTCGTTAGAAAAGTTAACAACCTGAAACCAATTTATCAGTGATGGTAGTTTTGTGGAGAACTGAACCCACGAACCTATGCCAAAGATAGTACTAGGTATAACGAGATTATGTTGATAGAGAGCTTCGCTTCTAGGCTACGTGACTATCTAAATACATAAGAGCAGAGAAATAGTAAAGCTGATTGTCAAATTGGGCATCAGGGTAGTTAAGAAAGAAACGCCAATGTCGTGAACGAAGGTAACAGAGCAAAGGGCTCCAGTCCATTGTAATTCTGCTAATAACAATCGTACAAGACACTGCATACCTCTTCTTAGGAACTCAAGCTCTTCTATGAAGCTCGAGAGCCATGCGTTACAAGAAAGGATTGCTTGCTTGTTGCACGACGAGTGGTTGAGGTTCAACACCCGTTCACGTCAGAAGATTGTGATCATCGCCGGGTGACGATCACGTGACCTTGCCTTCCGCCAAGGGAGGAAGGCCATGAGGAAAAGGGATGTCACTTCCTCCCAGCAAGACACTTCTTAGGGATGTTAGCAACTCCGAACCTCAGAGGAAACAGGACTGGAAGCTATGAGTATAAAAGACGGACGAATCTCACTACACTCGTTATAGTCAACTCTTATAGGTTCCTCTCTTACACAGAGTTGTACTTAAGTTTTTCTATCTAGTCTAGAACTAATCGTCATTACTGTCGGTTGCAATCCTACAAAGCTTTCTTACCAAAATTGCCAGGCAATCGCACAGCGCACCGCTTTCAGTTACCTCAATCTAACTCGGATTGAGACCAGAAGTATAGCCCAACCCCTTCTAACACCATGATAGTCTGCCATGATTTTAAACGCGGCATGCGAAGAAATAGTATGTGAAAGGTAAGCCATTTCTTTCGGATTCATAACTAATCATTTTTAATCCATCCAAGTACGTCAGTGTAGTTTTTGCACAGGTAATTCTTCTCGAAGTGGATAAAGTCATCTGGACTTGACTTGTTCCACTGAATGTATCCCATTGCCATATCCATATTCATCTTGCAAAGAACCGACTGCTTTAAGATCTTCAAACAGTGTGCTAAAGAAGATTAGGTTGACTCAGCAATCACTTCAAATTTGGGGCTATTCTTACTGATGTGATTTTTGTACCACTCATCTGAGATGTTGGCCTTCGCCATTGGACCATTCAATTTGTCGTCCTCGTGATTAAACCAGAGACGACGCCACGCAGCATCCTGTGATGTCTATCAGTATTTGGTCACTTAAATAGGAATATATGGATATTACCACACAATGGGCTTGATGCATACTGTCCAAGGTAACCAGAAACCCTGAGATTCCATTACGAGTAACCCTTGGTGACTCGGGAAGGATTCCTCGCTCATATCCAAATTTCTCAGGAACAACAACGGTGGCACCATCGGAGCGTTCAGCTAATGCATTCCAAGCTTTTTGTAACTCCCCTTCGTGTAAAAATGCCTTCTCTACTTTTGTATCAGAAGCTAAATCAGCCATAACTGAATCCGACTGAAGATGGCCAGAAGGAGCTGTATGCGTCAGTGTCTAGGTATAAATGTGCGTCATTAGCTTACACATTGCATCTAATGAACACGAGCACTCGGATCCGGTGCGTCCTTGAGTGAAGATGATGGTTGAGATGAGAGTGGTGAGAAGGATAACAATGATGTACGAAAGCCCACGCCATATATACCCATACTTCCTCTGTTTACCAGTAGCTGTTTCCCCATGAGATTGATGGATAAGTGAACTTTTCTCATCGTCGTTCCATGTGCGTGGGGAATTCAGTGTTTCAGTAGGAGAGCAGCATCCCTCTGGATCGGAGTCCATCTTCGAAGTGGAGTAAGGCGTGACTTGTCCAGAAAGTAACGACAAATATATGTATCTAGCTGACTAAGATTTTCGGATAGTTATTCTAAGCATATACTTAAACTAGTGCTATTACGTTCTCTATGTGCGTTTCTTGAAACCCTGGATGGAGTCATCGTAACATTGGAGACGGAAGTGGACGGATAAGTGGTGGGGCTGAATAGAAAAGCAGGAAAATTATACCGAACTTACCACCGTGATTCAGGGTATTGTACTGTACACCGCTAAATCGGGTAGGGGCATATATGATAGGCGCGGCTTGACTCTACATGGCTAATACCTGACATTGTGCATGTTCCATAAGAAATATGAGGGAGCTTCAGCATGCCCCGCTAAACAAGGTTTAAGTCATCTTATAGTATGTATCTAGTTACTCTCTACAACAAACCCCTTTCTCACACAACGAGCTAGTTTGTAATCATCAATTTGTGTCATACCCACATAGGTTTCTATTCGTTGGGAAATCTTGACAGATACTAATCAGACAGGTGCGTTAATATCGATAATGAAGCGCTTGTCCGATACCCTGTAGTCCTCAATCCACTGCACTGCTTCCTTGTTGTTCCTGCAAGAATGTAGGTGACCAAATCCGTTTGTTCCCTTATGGTCACCAGGTCTCGTACCACCTTCCAATGTCATATCGCTGTTACAGAGGATTGCTTGCCGAAGATAGTCGAAGCAATGGTTCGTGTGAACTGAACTATGACCTTCTTCAACTTGGTTTTCGGTTCCTTTGGAGCCATATCTTATCACCTGATCGTAGGCATCCATGATGTAATAGAGACAGTGTAGCTGATGTGTCCAAGAAACCTTCCACAAAGGTGTATCACTAGGATCAAGGAAAGGCTCACTCAAGTCTTTATAACGATTGTGTTCGGGGACGTGAATATTGCCACCACCTTCTAAATGCAAATGTCAGATCCCTTAACCTAGAAAGTCAAAGCTTCTTCGTAAGTTAAGGTATACGTACTAGGTAGTAAATCTTGCCACCTCTGTCTCACAGTTCGCGCTTCTTCACTAGATGTGTAGTTCAACGTGAAGATGTCCAACTGCGGTTCAAACTTGATGCGTTCTTCGGAGACTAAAGTTACTGTTAGACTCAGATCACATTAGTTATTGTAAGTGTTAAATATGCCTTACATCTTGGAACGAAATGATTGACGTCTCCCCCAAAATCGGTTTCTAATCTGAACTGCATAAGCAGTCCCAAGATAGCGACAAGGAAGATAAAGATAAACACACTGATGGAAATTCGCATCCACTTCCAAAACACGTAGGTCCTACTGCGGGGGTTCGATTTTTGCTGTATGAAGGATGTAAATTCGTCCGACGATGATTCCCTGGAATACCTTCCAGACATGGCGAGATATTATTTATTCGCAAATGGAACACGTGCCAACAGGTCGAGAAAGATGGCTTTCGAAATGAGCGACCGCCAAATATGTGTGATAGTTTTATGATTTATTCGTAACAACGTTGGCTGATTTCTAGGGCTAGCTCGAATGATAGACAAAATAGTAATGGATGGAGAAATTTGAGTTACCGCAGCTGGGCCGAAGTGCAGGGGCAATGTTGGATGCAATAAGTGTCTCCGAACAACTTCCGTCAACATTCTTTAGGACGGATGCAACGCGGTGTTGCAAGGAGCGGGTTGTCCAGGAAAAATCCGCTATGGTGAAAACAATATCACCTGTGGATCGGTGATCTTCATGCCCCAGTGGTCTGTGATTTGCCCCGCGCGGATCGAATAGCTCTTTCCATACGTTCGTGCTGGCGCGCGGGATATTATATCAAGGGCCGGTTTGGTTTCGCCAATAGCTTTGCTCAGCACTAACCTTATTAAAGGCATCCCGGAGCTTAGCGTTGTAAGAAGACCCCGTGCAGGCTGCTAGAAATTTGAAAGTGATGGAGCTTTCTCTTAGTAAGTACAAGTACGAACGTATTATGGTCGCAGGCTAACGTTTTGTAGGTGAGGATGTGGCAAGGGGTGAGACGGCGCTAGAATTAGTGATTACATACGCTACCCATGATTGATTGATTGATTGATTAAGTCCTACTCGGTTTCAGCCGCGTTTTCTCCGCAGCTATGCCCGGCATGGCTGGCGTAGCCAACAGCCGACGCCGCGCAGACGTTAATCCGCGCCGCCCCACGTCACTCCCTATGGGAGCCAGCTGTTCCTAGAGGCCTGCCGTTTCCCCTCCACCACTATCTACAATCTGGCTGCCACCTTATCTAGGTAATGGTTCTACTAATAGTATACTATGCTTATAGGCTCGTAGAGGCGTACTGCCTCGTATTCTGCGGCCGCGATACCTACAGTCTCCCCCCAGCGCTCGGCTGTCGTCTACGCGTCTTCGATCCCGACATGCCCAAGGATCTGCGCTTGTTCTATAAACTGGATGGCTTTAGTGGCTAGCTGTGGCCTACTTAATACGCTACCCAGGCTCATCACAGCGTTGTATCTTGACCAGTTAAGAGGTTTTAGCACTTCTAAAGTTTAACCGAACAAAAGCCGTATGACTGATCCACCTGCAAAACTTTGGCCTGCGACCGTAGTATGTATACCATCTATGAGTCGCGCATAGAAGGGCCGAATAAATTAGTGCTTACGAGACATACAGTCATTAGCGATTGCGGCTTCACCTCCGCAAGCAGCATTCCAAAAGTCCAGTCATCATAAAATTGGAGATTGGCCAATCATATCGGTTATTCTATAGCTGACTCGTCACGCTAAGCTCTGTATGGAAGATGGGGCTGTTCGAAACCGCTGCGCAGCTTGCATGTTAGGGTGAAGCCGCAATCGCTAGCGACTGTAACAAGGCTGTTTAACAGACCGCCATTTTCTCAACAAAGTTTCGATAGAATGCCTCAAGCCAAGCCGGCACTTGGTGCGTCATCTGAGTCAGCCGCTCCAAAGTAGTTCACTTGAAATTCTGCGCAGATGCGGCCCGTCAAACCAAGGTCTTTATTCAATTACTCGAAAAGAATTACGGCCATGCATCATTCCAACTGTGATTATGCAGAGGCAGCAACAACACTTCTTGATGAAGAAGTCCTATCGAGGCGTGCCACAAATCCCAAGAGAACATTCCGATGGGGGTTGTTTTTGTCTTGTTTCACAAACTTGATTCTCTTATTAGCTTTACTCTACCTGAAGAACAGTCCTCTCCAATCTCTTGCTGTGTCGAACATTTACTGTATAGTCTGCAATCCTTATCTGCCAGTCTTTCATCTAACATATACACAGCACCAGCGTATAGCGCGATCCAGTATGAGACCCGTACGTTTTTCTCTGACTTTGGGAGAATGCCTTCAGAATATCAGGGTTGGCCGGATGATCACCAAGATGCTCGATGGGAAGAACTGTACTCGAGTAAGCCTTAAAATCTTCTATGCATTGGTGGTTCAATAACAAAGTACAGAGGGTCGAACGATCCAAATCAGCCCTAAAGAAAACAGTATGCTTTACAACCAGTCGATACATGTCCCCATCGTTGGGCTGGAAGATAAATATATGATTGGCCTAGATGTTTTTCACCAATTACATTGTTTGGTACGAGGAGATCGGGACTTCTAGTCTACAGATTTTCTAAACAGACACAACAGGATACTATACGCAAATCGTTTTATCCAAGAAGATACAACATTACCCTTCTCAGGTCAGATGGGACGGTTAACTACGTCCCATGGCTTCATGTCGGTGCGTTCTTCAGCAATCATTAGCGACGCGATGATTTTGGAACTGACCGATGATCAGATCACTGCATTGAGTCGATCAGGCAGTCGTTAATGTGCAATGCAGATGTGACGCCTATGCACTACGAGTGGAGCGACGAAATCAAGTCTGTAGTACCAAAGATAACAGTAACCCATGTTTGTCGTAACTTTGATAAAGTTAAGCAGTGGGCCGCAAATCGATGGGTTGATTGGAAGTGGTCAGACAATCGGAAGGTTGTAGAGAACGGTGAAGTGAAAGATTATTCGAGTTGGAAGGTCATGACAAAGGAACATCCCCTCCCTAAAGACTGGGCTGAGAACGACCGTTCCAATGAATTTGTTCAATAATTGGTCATATTTAACGACTTTAATTACATTACATTGTTGGCTATATCCTTTGCTTAATCATGATATAAAGGCTTCACCTCCATCGATTCCGGTCGATTCGTCTTCCATGTATAATCGCAAACTGGAAACTTTAGATGTAGGAGACTGTTGAAAAGGTAGGGGTTGACGTTCGGACGTGCCATCATGTTTGTACAATGCTCATTGTGGTGCCAGTCCGAAGTCCAGTTATCCATTGGTCGATCGAACATAACAGAACGAAGATACTTCTTTAAAATAAATGAGCAATGTGCCATGTGTTGATACCACGGAACCCAAGCAGCCTCGATATTACCATTCCGGCACTCTTGGATAAATGACGCATTAGTTGCAGAACTATCATTTGCTGTCCAAGAAAATTCCCAACCATTGTAGGAATTCCAATCGTGGCCGAGTTCTTTATCGTAACATTGCGGTGGTACCCAAGCGAAGTTGTGCATCTCGAATTGACATCCCCGTTTACGCGCTTCCTCTGCCGTGGTTCCGCAGTGATTGAAAGTGAGATTTCCCAAGTTTTGCTGTTCAATATCCTTCTGATATAAATCCGCTCCGCTGATGTGAACAATGATCGTGATAATAGCGATTATAATGGCAGACGCCATCACTATAGATATCGTATGCCACTGCCGCAGAGAACTCGGGTTTGAAGATTTTGCGCTATGGACCTCCGTAGTATTTTCCAGGTCTATAGAGGAAACCGGTTGGTAACGGTGAGAATTTTTCGAGGGCATGGCTGAGCAAGGAATAAGTCGTAAGAATCTAAGTGGTAGTATCCGAATGAAGTAAAATTGAAGATTTATCTGCCATATGCCTTCCCATCAAATTAATGAGAGGTGGGGCCTAGAGGCACTAGTTTTTGGCTTGATTTTTACATGAATCGATAGCCTCGAACGTCGGCCGCACGTCCAGATCGAGACAAATTAGATTTATATTACCCCCCTGATACGGAAGCTTACTCCCGTGTGCGTCAGGGCTAGATTCGTATCATGCAAGCGGTATGCAGTAAGTGATCTTCAACCAGTGGCCGGTATGGCACCGAAACTTGGCCATAGATGTAAGCCTTTAGTGAGCTGTCGAAATATTTAAGTGCTATCCACTATGCAGTGCAAACAAGACATCGATAAGCATTATTCGACTTTTTCTTCTTTACCTCACAAACATCCAAATTGAAATAGACATACCTAACATGCAGTTGTACAAGCTACAGCCAACTGTACTCCTTCTTGCGGCTCTTGGGGCTAATGCCGTTCCCGTTCGTATGTGTCAAAGTTTTCCAAATCGAGTTGTTGGGGCTGATTGAAATGACATAGCCAACGAAGATGTAAAGAATACTGTATCTACCGCGGCTGATCCTGACCCCAACTTTGCCTACTACAACTTCAAGCGTGGGGAGGTGAAGAAGTCAGCTGACGACACTGCGGACCCTGACCCCAACTTTGCCTACTACAACTTCAAGCGTGGGGAGGTGAAGAAGTCAGCTGACGACACTGCGGACCCTGACCCCAACTTTGCCTA